TAGGGTATGAGCACGTTCCGCGACTTAAAGAGAGTGGACTGGGTAGTCGTCTCTTCTATAGCGTGGGGCCCTGAAGGACGGAGTCAGTGAAAGCTTACTGTAGTCCTCATCCAGAGCTGAGATTATGTCTCTGATCAGTGGGTCAGAAAGGATCGAGGAAGGGTCCTCATGGATGGCTGTCTTGCTATCGACCTCTAGGCTGGGAGAGGGAGTGATTACCTCCAGTCTGTCTGCCAACCAGTCTGCAACCTGAGCTAGACCAAGGTGGGACTTGCTGTCCGTGGGGGTGTCGTCATAACAAGGGATGAAGGCGCCCTCCGAAGATTCAAACCGATAGCCACTGGAGCGTCTGCGAACCTGGGAGTGGCTCCTAGATCGATGATCCTGGCGATAAGATCGACTTTCATGCCGACGTGAAGACATACTTGGAGTAACGAGAGGTAGAGGGGACATAGAGCGTCTGTATAGTTGACCGACGAGGTGGTGGCAGAGGCGCAGGCGCCTGTTTAGGCGCTGTAGATAGACAAGCGCCGTCTTTAAATGTGCTAGGAGAGGCGTCTGCAGATGCGCCATGGGTGATGCTAGGAGAGGCATCTGTATAGGCACTGGGGCAACAGGCGTCGACGTCTGCATGGTCTGTAAGGAGAGAGGCGTTTATCATGGGCGTCTGTGCCGTAGGCGGGGGCGCCTGTGGGAGACCGAGCGTCTGTCCGATGGATTGTATAGGCGCCCTTTGGTTGGTGATCACCAAGTCAGACGTCATGATTGTGGCCGCCGCCGTAAAGATAGACGCTGTAGTGGTGGTGAGGGTGCTCTGGTAGAGACTGAGACCATGGGGTCCAACATCACGATAACAGTTGAGGTCAGGGGGTAGTCATCTGAGATGGCCGATCTGGTAGGTGAATACTAGGAGTGGTCAGATATCCTGTGCCGGTGTTATCTGGCCTGTTGTGTTCTATGTTTCTTAGACACACGGAGATACTGACTGAAAGCTGTGGGTGAAAGCTGTGTGTGAAAGCAGTAGACAGTCTCTACATCGGTGACTCTGGAGGCATTGAGATGTACAATTAAGGCACAGGGGGTGGGGATCCCACGCCGACATATTACGTCGGCACTTTGAGCAGGAGGGCATGATATCTGCAATGAAGCAGTGTAAAATCACAATGCATCCCCGCCTGATTATGTATGCTATAATTCGTTTATCTCACTGCGTGGGTTTATAAAACAATTATTACGACAAATGTAAGACAACATACAACGAAGACAAAATACTTGCAAGGATATGCCAATGGTGGGGCACCATGCAAAAAGAATATAGAACACAAGCCAGTTCATTAACTTGCTGGCCACATAAAATGTTCAAGATGGCTTCTTGAAACAACAAAACACCTGGCATTATGCATTTTTTTCTTTTGAGAAAACGTCAGTAAGTGTCTAATAAAGTTATGCACATGCTTATCAAACATAGAATAGACAAGATACAAACCGTAGGCACAACACAAAGACAATAAACATTAACTCTAAGAGCAAACACGTGAGGGTTTGAATAAGTTTATGCTACAGCTAGTGACAAGAGTAATGTGTCCTTTAGTCATGTGGGAGCTGCCTGATAGGGTTGGCCTCTCAGCTAGTTGGAACAACTTCTTCAAGCAAAGACCTTCACACAGGTCTTTTCTCTGTCAAGAACAAGCAGTAATATGCATTAAGGAGTAATGCAGGATAAGTGAAAACTTTATGTTTTAATAACTTTGGTGTTATAGATCACAGTTGTAAACAGAATAAGATTTTCATGCAAAACGAAGTGTTTTAAAAATGAACACTTGTTTTGCCGATGTTTGATGTTCGTTTGTCCAGAGACCATATAATAGAGGGACGGCCCTCTAGCCTATGCGCGAAACCATCAGTGCTACGGCTTGTACTGCGCAGCCTGTCCGGAAGCGAGCAGAAACGCGTTCACTGCAGTCATCGTTGTCGCCTTTTTATCCCATGCAAAAGATATATTTCACAATACAAAATTACACTCATGTATTTCTTAACATTGTTAACATTACAACTGAGATTTGTTGGTGCCCTAAAGCATGTCGTTGTCACTGTATTTGATGACTGTGATCACGCTTTGTCTTTGTCCGAGAGAACAAAATGGCGCACATGTAAAATCGGCAAAAGTGCAGATTTTGATTTTTAATAACGGCCTCTAATTCGCAATAAAAGTCCTTGGTTACCAAAGTGTATAAAAAGGAGATATGTTAAAAATTGGCTTAGTGCCATTAACAAATTTAGGGCGGATGCGAAATTTCAGTTTTGACTCCAGAAATGGGACTAAATCTGAATTTTCCTGACATAATTACACCACAACTCTTAATTTTCGCATGCTTTCAGCCAAATGTGTTCCTATTATCGGTCTTGAATTTAATAGTTTACATTCATCACGATTTCCCCTTTGGCTTGGTACCAAAGTTATTTAGGTACGATCGGTAGGTTTTTTTGTATGATTTTTGGCACAAGGCCATATTTTATGTCACATATTTTAAGTTAAATTACCATATAGCAGACGACATAACATGCATTTTGTCTGTGATTATCATCTGCATATATCTTTTGAAACATTCTACAAAGTGACTTATATTGTATGATATTAGAATTTTTTCTGTAAGACGCATATTTTTTTACCATTGCTTTCGCCATTTCTTCTTAAGTTTAATTTTGTTTCAGTTAGGCTTTTATCACATATCGCTCATATACTACATACATGTACTACAATACTACATATTTGTTATCTTCTGTCTGTATTAATCATGACTACATTTACTCAATTACGATGAAGGTACTACTTACTTTGTGTATTTACACAACAATGAAAACATCATACAAAAAATAAAAATCCGTTACATGAAATATTTGTATTATAAAATTATCATTTGCTTTGTAAATGCCAAGAAAGAAGAAGGATTATATCAGCAGTCGTCGGGAGAGAAGTTCCAGACAACAAGGTCGAAGGTGTCATTCAGTAAAATATATAGATGGTCTATTGTCCTTTTCTATGAAAAATACATTTACATATGTCAGAGTTTGTGATGTTTTGTTTTGTTTTAATAGTAATAGTTGCATGTCTCATTCCAGGTTAGAGTTTAAAGTTTGTTTTTCATTGATCAGATATAAATAGAAAACTATGACGAAACAATTTTGAAAACTACAAACGTTACTACAGTTTACGATATACTAGTACATATCTGGTACCATGCTCGTTGAAGCTATATTGTTATACCTGAAATACCTAATTATTTGTATGCTGAAATTTCAATCTAATCGGGTAATATTAAATAACGATTGTAAAATTACAATCGCCCTCTTTGCTTTGGAATTTAACAGTAGCCTCCCTTTGAAAAAACTTATCTCGCTCTGGCAAACCCCATTATGACTGCTAGCCCCAAACTGGCATTAACCAATAACATTTGATTCTTTCGAAGCTCATTGTCGGACACATCGAAAATTCATTTAACAACGCTCGTAGTTTAATGTGTATTTTTAATTCATTGGAACTATTAGCATTATAAAATAGTAGCGAATTTACATGAAATAAAAACATTAATATGGCGTCATTATTTTTCTGGCTAATAGTAAATCATTTACACCAGTCGGTGATCATGCATTTTTGCAAGTAAATCTAGTCTGGACTTATTATAAGATATGAAGTTATATCTGGAGATATACTTTGTGAACATCGGGAATATGGTGATATGTTACAAGTGTCTTCCCTGCTTCTGGATGAGTTTTATTTACACTTCCTGAGTTCCTGTGCAATTTACCGGATTGTAGTTTTCTGTGGCGTTCGTAGATTTGGTATATTTGTTTATTTATAACAATTGCAGCATAAAATGTGATATATACTTTTGATATCGGAACGGCTTTTTCTTCACACGCCCTCGAAAACTAACGCTTGTGGACAGACGTCATATTTTCATTTCCTATCTTTTTCTTTGAGTGAAAAGTTTTGGGAGGTATTACCAACGGCTTGGTGGCGGTAACATGACTGTCATTCTATTTAGACTAAGAGTCATCAGAAACCAACCCCTGGTCGAAAAGTGGGAATTCTTCAAGTGGCATATCTAGGTCCAAGACGAAATCGTCCAAGTGAATGAAGTCGTCCATGGCTGTGGCGAATGTAAATTGAAATAAATGTCCCGGAAGACACACATGTTCAGCAAATAATTTGCAGCCAACTGACATGTGCTAGTGAGAGATATCATAAAAAAAATCTTTGTAATCCGCTAAGAGACGTCCTTTTATTGGATTGTCGCTGGTCGTAGTCGGAGAAATCTCGGATAAGGGAATTAACTCTTACCCCGGATATTATGTAATATTGTTTACGTGGTTACCAGAATGGTCAGTCGTGAATATCTGCGCATCTATTGCGCATCTGCAGCAGTACAGGGAGGTTAACAGCAGGGTGTCGGGGTGTATCAGTAACATGCCAGACCGTAGCGCTGATGGTTTATGATAAACTGTTGGGGAGGGCCGTCCCTCTATTATACGGTCTCTGGTTTGTCCAAAAGTCCAATACACAATAAACAAAATTTTACTAGAATAGATAAAAGATATTCAGTACATGATTTTAAAAGTTTTAAGACAAATGGACTGATATTTTCGAAGATATGACAATTTTTTAGGATGTTAAAAAAGGTACATTTTGCAGATATATTTCAAATTTGAAACTTCAGATAGGTTTTAGAAAATTAAAATGAAACATTTGTATACAGGAATTTTCAAACTATTACTTAAAATTTCAATTAATGATGACAGAACACTATTTTAATAAACTGTTGTACTTCACTTCACGATGCTCTTCAAATTAGTTCGCAAGTTGAGGGCATCGAGGCTAGAAGGGTTAAGTCAAGCACGGGATGCAACATGGTGGTTGCTTATCATTTGACACTCTTGGAAACTGATTTGCTTATCTGGTCTGACACTCCCAAATGACATTCACAGTGTAAACAATGAACCTTTCTTCCATAGTGCTTGTTCTTTTGCCTTGAGCACCTGCAGGTGTGTGTGGTGAGCCTTGGGAGTTGTTCCCTCATTTATGGATATTGCAAATGATAGAAGTTGTTCTCTCAACACTGAGTACTTGGCATCAAGCATCTGGAAACAAAGCATTCTGGGATGATAAGATGTACCTCATTTAACAGTCATTAATTCATAGGGAATACTAGGGCTGGGCCGGGTACCTTGGGTACTCATGTCACAGGGGGGGTACTGAATGAGTAGGACCCGTGGATAGTCAAATGATTATATTAATGTCAAAAATTATAACATAATTATAAGTGACAAATGTTTTCTCTCTGACTCTCACATATTCCTTCTGACTTTTTATGTTTGCATAATGGTATAACTTCAGTCAACTTTAGTGTATGCATGACCAAATCAGTTTATACATGTACATGTATCTAAAAATGTTTTGACAGGAGTACGGTCAAACATTTCCCAATCGGACATTTTATACCTATCTCTTGACACCTACTACGGATACCCAGGTAGGGGTGGGTACCCGGGTAGTACATTTGGACTCGTCCCAGCCCTAGGGAGTACACAGTCAGGTACTTAGACTTATTTTCTTCCAATTGTTTATGAACATGCCTATGGGCACCAGTGTACCAGCCATAAAATATCAGAAACCCTCACTTGGATCCAGACCACAAACTTTCAGATCCTTCAATAACATCTTTGGGAATGTTATCATGTATTATAATGAAGAAGAGAGCATTGTCTGTACCCTCACTCTGAGAGTTGCGGGATTATGCTGCTACAACACTATTTGACAACCAAACAAACAGCATTTTCTTTGTCCTGGAATGAGTTGGGCTCAACACTGCTGTTGATTAAACCCTGTGCAGGCATGTGGTGCAGACAAACCAAACATCCTAATCATGGTAGGTCTGAGATTAGAACCCATCATTTGTGGATTCTGGCAAGGGAAAGGAATGCAACTATATACAGTGCAATGTGGCACTTAACTGTCCCTTTTGTCACTGACATGATTTGTTTGCAACTGACAATATGGTAAATGAGAAGAATCTTTAACAGCATCAAATGTGACTTGTGAAGTCCCTGACGGATGTTGGAAGATGTGGCTAACTTGAAAAGTTGTGCAAATGCAACTAACCAAGAATGAATCAACTACAAGAAGTGGGCAGGAATGGCAGCAATCTGGTCCAATCAGTGTTCTGGGAGACCCCGTGATGGGACAAGTAACAACTGAACCTGTTGCATCTGCACCTTATTAAAATGCTAAGAGATTAAGTTTCTATCCGTTTAGCTTGAATACTGAAAAACAGCAAGATTCAATATAAATTTGGTTTCAAGTTGCTTTGAACAGTATTTCAGCTAATCATGGCAGACATACTGAATTCGTGGTTTCTTTGAAAGGCTTTTTGAACAACACACAAAGTACAAGTTTCTGAAATGCCTAATAATTGTCTTCTTAAAGGGCAACTGGGATTAGAAAGGAACCCCCAGGGCCGGTGTAAGGTGCCAAAATCTACCCCCCTTCAGAGTATACCCGGGTAGATTCTGGGAGCTCCCAGAATCTACCCCGGGGTAGATTTGGGGACTCCCAGAGTATACCCCCGGGGGTTGATTCTGGGAAAGGGGGGTAGATTCTGGAAGGCCCCAGAATCTACCCGGGTATACTTTGAAGGGGGGGTTTACTTTCAGACTTTACACCGGGACCAAGGGAATAGATGGAACAATACATGAATGGAGTGGTTATCTTCAAATCTGTCATAGCAGTCCAGTGACATTTGTCGCATATTTTTTCAAACAGATATTTGTTGTGTTGGAACACTTGTGAACCAATATTGATGTGACATTAATCAAGATGCAGTAAATACCAAGACTCAGGATTGTACTTGTAAAGGTGATACAGTAACCAGTATAGACTGAAAACCCTGTTAATATATCCACAAAAGGTCACCTTGACCTCAGAGAATCACCATTGTGGGATTGGCTTTGTTCAGATACATGCAAACATCTACTTTCAAACCTGGAAAGGTAACCAGAAACTGACAATAACAATGATGTGATGTTGTACACAAACTAACATGCTGACGACTATGCAGCCTTGCTTCCTTTGACTAATGACAAAGTACTACCGGTAACACTATTTTTTAGAAAGTAACCATAAACCATTTGTGAGCTTTTCTTTGTCATGACCCTGACCTTTGTCCTTTTCATGAAATATATGCCAAGAGAGTTCCCCAGGGAAATTTGCAAGGAGGTCCATGTCAGTATATGGTCAATAAATAGCACAGGTAGACAGAAAATCACTGGCAGGACAGAGGCAAAATGTTGACAAAGCCTTAAATCAGCCCAATTTAAAGTGGCTGCTAAATATCACGAAAATATTAATTGTGTCATCAGAAGATAGTGACAAGACATTCAAAGTGCCTTGCCTTATGGAGACTCTGTGTTATAATAGGATCCCAGCAATCCATGTTTGATGAAAGTGGGAAGTAGATTAAGGCTCAGTGACTTGGTTGAATGTGTATAGTACCTAGTCAGTGTGGGACAGTGTTCATTACATCAACCATTGGTTTGTCTGGTCGAGGCTCAATAGGATTTAGGACTAGGATGAGTCCAAAATTTACCCTCTACTACCTGACCCTACCCAGGTACTTGCTGTCGGTCTCAAGAGCTAGGTACAAAACGTCCGAATCGGAATTGTTTTACCAGAGCCCCGGCAAAATCAATTTAGATATATAAATAGAAAGAAATGCAAACATTAGAGACCCATTTGACCCAAGTACTCGAGTTACCCATCCCAGTCCGAGGTGGGATACTGTTGACTGTGACACTCACTCAATCACTCACTCACTCAAGTGTGTTGAAATTGTTACATGGAGAGAAATGCTTAGCCAATCAAACAGGGAGAGCATGGCTGTTAATTAGTTGTGTAATGTGGTCTGTTTGGTGTACGAGGACATTATGGTCTCAAAGTCATGTTCTTTGAACTCTTATGGTTATAATATTGATGATCAAAAGCACTGATGATGTGCAGCGGTGGTGCCAAAAAGAAGCTTTGCTCATTCATTTTGTTAAATTTTATTTTCAATTATAGGACAAAAGGTTTAATTCATAACTTAGTTGACATGATGAAACCAGCACTCAATTGTGATGATATCTGTTAGCTCTTGGAGCCTTTTGGTTTTTGAGAAGAATATGCCTGAAGAATTTCATTATAATTTGAGGAAAATAGTTAACTTTTTCAGTACCATGTATGGGCGGCCATTCAGTCAAAAAATACAAAAGTATGCAATAATGGTCAGATAATACAAATAAAGAACTAAATGTTACTAATAACTAATTTCTTTACCGAATGGCCGCCCATAACCATGCCATGAACAAATCCAAGTCAAATTATTGTCCTTCACAAGTTCATAAAGTTTCAGCTCTGGAGGACTTGCAGTGTCTGCAAAGAATTTCAGTGTTTGTAAAAATATATTGTGATATTTTACTTGCATAAACAAATCTGACCCTCATAGTGTTGCTTGTGATATCATATCAATGTTTCACTTCCCTGGAGCTCGTGTTCTTTTAGAAAAACATTCATAGTTATATATTGACAACAAAATATTATTTTTCATTTTTTTCTCAAAAACATGAAAAGCTGGTCTTACTTCAAGCACATGTTTGTCATCTGCATCTCCCTCATAGGCTGTGAGCACATTGTACACATTGCAGGTCGTCTTCTGTTGCCTTGCATCAGCCTCCCCATGCCACAGCCTCACCAGCTCCTCCTCCTCACACTGCAAACAACATCCTTCACAAGATCACTTAAATACATCAACTCACATGCTCATTGTCTAACAGGGAACAGGCAGACTTGTTCAGATAAATAATAATATTATGAATATCCAAATTCATGTAGATTATTTCTTATCCTGCCATAACACATTGCAGTGCGTATTCAACAGATGGCGGTGGGGTCTGCAGCTTGTGTCTAGGTTAAGCTTTGATCAGTGGGTTGCCCTCTTCTCTAATCACGTCACATCCTTACTCTAACATGCAAGGTTATGCTGCATGGTCAAGTACCTGAATGTGATACCCAGAGGATCTGAACTAAAGGATGTAGAGTATAACAACCTGAGTCCAATATTGAGCCACATGTGACACAAAGGAAATTTCTGGCAATGTACTGAGCAGTGGCTTATAACGACTTCCCTGAGGATCGGGACACCAAGTTGTAGTCAGTACAACAAATCCCTGTCATCACTCCAAATATTGATGTGACATTACATGACACAATGACACACAGCAGGATTCGCCATCTCTGTAAAAAAAATTCAGAAAACGTTTCTTCATAAATAATATTTCTTATATATACAGCATCAATATGAACAATGTGAATGTGGGACAACTAACTGCTGTACTACAAGTGGTCCAAACTGATGAGCCCATCTACGACCTAGACGGGGAGGTCCCTGGGTCAGAAGTTGATGAAGGTAGCATCTGTTACCCAAAAATGCCCCTTGATGACATCATTCACTTAATAGTTTGTTTGCATCGTGGATGTCAGGACCCTGATTTCATGCGGATGGTGCACTTGAAGTGGGTTCAGACCTGCATATTGATACACCCACAGAATTGTTGTTTGAAAGTCAAAGCGCCATGGTATTCTTCAAAACCTCAGCTCTACTTCTGGCAGCCAGAGGCAGGAATAAGCTTTTCCTCTGCTTCCTGGAAGTCATTGTAACTTCCAAATAGCACCAAAGTACTCTTACTGGATATACTGACAGATCCACAATGTCCTCATTCCCCAGGACCATAAATAATAAAGGAACCTCTGATTGTCTTTCCCCACGAAATCCCACATGAGACCCATGTGAACCTTGACGTCTGCACATCTGTTAAACTATCTGAGTGACGTCCAAAGCCAGCCTTTTGACCTAAGGACTAATTCTGCCTGCTCCATCAGTTCATAGGGTGGTGAGACCAGATGTTATAGTACCAGCCCCTAGATCCCAAGCCGGAGGCCTGGACAGTTTCCTCATCTTCAGCCTGAAGCTCTTCAGCATAGCTGTTATCTCCATCACTGTGTTGATTATTATGGACAGCGAAGATGCTAGTACTGAATTAATGGCTAACACAAAAATATGTATGGTACCACTTGGAAACTGTTCAGCTGGAGATCCACGTTATCCACGATCCTAGGTGTCCCAGCAACAGTCACCATCGAATACATGGTGTTTGTGGAGGTAGTCGCGACTGCTGTTTCACGCCTGTCCATCTCTCGGTTTGGTTCTTGAGATTTTCTAAGATAAATCTCAACCTGCCTTGGGGATAAAGTTTTACACACAGCATATCTAGAGTCTAAGTCACAAACAGATTTGTGACAGTCGAGACAATCAACATGGGGATCACTTCTCGATTTGCCCTTCTGACACATGAAGCACACCATCGCGTAAACAGGGGCTGCACACACATCATTGTTGATGCTCATTCTATTCTAACAGATGGCCAAGGACATTTATGCCAAGCTGTATCATATACAATATGCATGTACAAACATCCCAAAGAGCATGTAAACCAATTGTAAATGACACAGGGTGACGTTCAATAGTGTATGGAGATAAAATATTTCACAGCAAATGTCTGTCACCATGCGCGACGAGAAAGAAGTGAAGAGAACAGGGACAGATAACTCTAGTTCGCAACCAAGGGCAGGCGGGCGTCCTGGAGCAGGAACAGGCATGTTTTGGGTTCACTGGTATGGGAGCGAAGTCCAGAAGAAAATGGCAATGTGTTGTGTCAAGATCAGAAATAATCCCTCATTTACACAAACTGATGTAAAACACTTGGTTCTGGTGAGCTAAAGCATTAAAAGCTAACAAATTGAACACAACTATTTGCCTAATGTGAAATTTATTTTGGAGTAATGATAAGACAACAAAAAAACAGACTAAACATGCATTTTGACAAGTTTTAGTTTGTTCAGTTTAATTTAGTTTCATTGTTGCATTGTAATGGACACATAAAATTAGAACACAGCAGTTGCTGCTGGATGCTTCTGCCAAATTGTTTCATGACTGTTTGGATGATTTCTTACTTGAGATATGAGATGCTAGTTAGCCCCCCTCTGACCCAGCTACCTTATGAGGGAGTGTCAGCAGAAGGTCAGCCATCTCCATGTCTTGCACAATCTGAAGACTGACCAGAATGGCGGAAGTAACCTGGCCTGGTAAGGCTGGGCGGTCGTGCATCCTGGTGAGTGTTTCAGCTGTACACACTGTCTGTAACACTGCTGCTTCCTCCACCAGGTCCGTATACTCATCCTGCAGGTCATCTACGTGGAAACACAAATACACTACCTGGTTCAAACATTAAAAGTTTGCGAATTCATAAAAGGGTCTTAGCATTACATTTATTACAATCCACAATTATGGAGTAATTGTGATCAACTTGATGAAACTTACGAAACAGTCAGTGGACATGAGTATTTGTCACTTTACAAAATGCTTAGCAAAATATGTGATAAAATAGTACCACGCTGTTGTGCTGTGAGGCGTGCAACAAGAGTATATGCCCAGACAAAATGTGTGCTATATAAAAGAATATACCCTACTTATCTGACGGTCAACAGTGAAATGTTTAAACATTGTTTTGATAACCATATTTAAAAGATATGCAAGAACGTTATGCTTAACTGTTTGAGTAGCTACTTTTTGACGCACATGAAATATTTTCCCTGTGAAGTATGTTCACCTCACTCTTTGTATTCAGGTTATGGAATGCATGTCCTGCGGCAAATACACACGTCATACTGGACCAAGAAGTTCCAGCACTGCCAGATGGTGTTGACTAACAACTCAATTAAAGCACGGTCAAAGACAAAGGAGCCCTGGTTTAAATGCATATACATGCATTATTGGCTGAAACAGCACTTCCAATATGGATAAATGGTTGTCCCCGAAAACAACTCCATGCAATAATCACTCCACGCCAACAAAGGCAAATTCCCCACAGGTTTATAATGGAATAGTCCAGGAGTGGGGTCCGATGGAGAGGAGCAAACTGAGAAGGATGCCCTCATGTTGGTTGGCTCAAACAAGTATATTCATATAGCAAGAACTTAATAACACACACACACACACACACACACAACACACACACAACACACACACCACACACCACACACACACACACACACACACACACACACACACACACACACACACACACACACACACACACACACACACACACACGACTCGGATCTATGGTAGGACTCGGATCTATGGCGTATTCCCACATCTACAGCAGATTTAATCATATAATATTAATAATTGGCAATTTCCTAGGAGTGCTAAACACTGCATAGATTCAAATAAAGAGGAACACTTTTGTGATTTCTCTAGATTATTTTTCATCATTTCTCCTTTGGAACAGCATCGTCGATGCAGGGATTGCTTATCAGTACTTTTCTTAAAAACATCCCCCAAGTTTTATCATAGACAAATGTTTCTAAGACCTTCCGCACCATTCTCTACTTTGCCAGAGTTGACAAAATGTCTCGATATTTCCACGCTTCAATGCTTTGGATTTAGAGCCTTCACACAAGGAACTTCTTGGATTTAAAAAAAAATCATCAGCCTTAGGATATTTTGATACTTGTTTCTTCCTCTGCCTGCATGAATCCGCCTTCATTTTCTATGGTCTCCGGTTCCATCTTTTTCGACTGATAGCTGTGTCTAGCGGCAGTAGATTTGAAATTTACATGATGTCATCATATGCAAGGAGTCGTGATGTCATCTCAAATATGACATAATATAACAATTGATCTGATTGTCCAATCACGGATAAGACATCATTGCAAACATGATGTCACATGAGAATCTGCCATGGATCTAAGAATCCACCACGGATTAAAGTCCTGCAGTTGATCGGAGTCCTACTCACACACGAGTCCCAAAGAGGGGCAGGTCAGACGAAATTGCTAAGGCAGAAGGCGACCTATTAAATTCTTAAGTGAAGAGGAAGAAATAACAAAATAGAGTTACAACTTTCTTTTGCTCACCTGAAGTATTCTGGTATATTTGCAATGTTAAGACTATAGAGGTCAGAATAAATGGGTACACAATAATATGTCAACATAAATAACAGAAGTAGAAAACAACAACAATTATATTTCCAAGCCAAAAACTTCAATATGTAAGGCCACACTATTTTTTACTTGCTTTCCCGATCCACGGACTGTAAATTGTATTGAAATGGAAAAAAAATACATAATTCTAAATTTCTTTTATCCCGCCAATAAGATGAAAGCATATTGCAGCAAAACAATATTTTAATGTGCATACCATATGATTACTGCCTATCAAATCATGGGCGGATACAGCTTTTTTTAAAAGGGGGGGTGCACAATTAAGATCTATTTATTGTCTTTGGTGGTAATTTATACAGAAATAAAGATTTTTTTTCGAAATAAAAAGGGGGGGTGCGCACCCCCGCACCCCCCCTCTGTATCTGCCCATGCAAATGTCCTAACAGTACATGCAAAAATAGCACCACGACACTGCAGCTCACCTGGATATGTAGTCAACCTTTAAAAATGTCCACAAATACTGCCACTTAACAAAGTTGCTGTCAGCATTGCTATTCGAATATTTCCTGAGTACAAAGGCATAATAGATAAGAAATCTGCAGGAAAGAATGTACTGTTGTGTAACTAATATAGGGAGAATAATTTTTCTTATGCCATACAAATTTCCAGATGATGGTCCAAAGTGCAAAGTTCAAAACACAAAATATCGCCAAAATATGGAACCAATGTTTAGCCTCACTACAACGTAACTATACATATCCCTAATGTCATTATATTTCGAAAATGAATGGCTGAGTAATGGCCAGAATAAGTTTCAGTTTCAGTCTGGTCGATGCTCAAGGTCAAAATTAAAAATATTGCAAAACAATGGAAGATATGTGTTGAGCCCACTACTAACTAAACATGTACTATGTGGCCATAAGGAGTTCCAGCCTAAAGTATGGTGAAAGAGCAAAGGTTAAATCAAGGTTAAAATTTAAAATACCACTGGGGGCCATATTGAAAAGCAGAATCACTCCTTGTGAACAAGAATAATGAGTACGGTCAAAGTGCAAAAGTCAAATACAGGTCAGACTTTAAAATATCACAAAAGACAAACTATTCGATTAAGAACCCCACTACGAGTTGAACATATACCAAATTTCAGTACATGAAAATGAAATCAAATTGACTGAAGCAATGGCCATAAATTGATTTTTCATTGCATTAAAATCAATCTCATAATCTCTTAGTTCTCGCAATCGCTCAACAAAGATCTGAGGATATCCCATTATGGGTCACATCAGAACGACCTTTCATCCGACCAAACAAAGCGTCGCTTACCAGATCATGAAAGTGACGGTCGGAATGTGTTGTCTAATCATGCAGCCTCAAAAACGTTGACACGGGGTATTCCGAACGACAGCTACGGCCCATACGAATGATTCCGTCAAAATTATCGTCTATATCTCGCTTCCGTGGGATAAACATTTGAACGGAGGAGGCGTTGCACAGTACGTGGGAAGCACTGCCATACAATCTCAACCATATATTAGACATTCGGGAATGTTCGTTTGTTCAGTTTTAACAATTTTAATCGAGAACTGTGTCAACATATTTTTCAAACGTAGTCTCAAATGGAAGTCGCCAGTTTGAAACGAGTGCCGTAAAGCTCTAGAAAGCTGCATTCTAATTGGCAGATGGCGACTTCTTTTTATTCATTTCAGTGGTGGGTCAAAGTTCACGAAAGGTCGTTCTGATGTGACCCATAATGGGATGTCCTCAGATATTTGTTTAGAGGCAGCGATAACTCAAGATCTAATTTCAATGAGATTGCATTAAAATATATTGAACATAAAAACTGAACCTCTTCAGCAAGGTGTCATCATTGGCATTTCAGTTTCAGTTTCATTGGTCCAGTGCTTTGTTTTTGAGAAAATGTTTACAGATGATGGTGCCTCTGTCGCCAGACATTGGACAAGCAGGTCATGATATAAGCTCACTTGACTATCAATCATGTGAGCTAAAATGGCTGAGCAAGAGGCCAAAATAACATTTTGAATCAAATGTTATCAATATGAATGAAAGGTCCTGTAATACATGTATCATTGTCAAGGTGGAATGAGTGAGTGAGTGAGTTGGGTTTAACGCCGCTTTTAACAATATTCCAGTTATATCACGGCATGTCAGCTTAATGTGGGAGGAAAGCCCGAAGTGATGCAGGTCTCAGACGTTTACCACTTCGGTGAAACCCACGAACCCACGAGCACGGGTATGGTGCTGACAAACCTAGAAACATAATCGGGGCGAACCGCGATTCGAACCCACAATCATAGGTTTCTGGCATGCCCAAGGGACACAACTCTGCACAGCGATTTGCGGCGCCTTAGACGACTGGGCCACCGTGCCCCCTTGTCAAGGTGGAACATGTACGGCTGCTGCTAAAGAAATAGGCTGTCCTTGAAACCTGGGAAACACTAGGAACCATTTGTATCTGCACCTTGGAGGTAAGAGCCCTTGTGATCAAAGACCAATGTTCTTTCCACATTGCTAAGTAAAGAATTATAGTTTTAAGTGTGAGGCACAATGTTCCCAGTTGATGTTAACTGATTACCTGTGTGATGCAAGTCTAGTTGGGCCTTCTTCACTCGGAGCTGGGCTAGTCTTTCAACCCTCTCACTTGTCGGCATGCTCGCTGCCACTTCAGTAAGTTCTCTGAGAGATTCATCTTGAAGCAGGGACAGCAGTCGTTCTCGCTCCTCACAGTGGCGGTAATACACCTCCTGTACATAAGCCTCTCTCCACACACACACATCACCTGAAATACAAGTACAAGTATGTGTTTCCATTTGGTGCTTCACAAAGAACTTATAAACAATACAAACTATGTGGGGTTTTTTTCAAAAGAATAAAAATTATTGTACCTGCAAATAACATAATCAAACATAGGGATAATCACATATAGCAAATGTACCTGCTGGAGTAATCAGATGTATACAATTATAACATAGAGTCTATGCATCTGCTGGAGTAAACAGATGTATACAATTATAACATATAGTCTATGCATCTGCTGGAGTAATCAGGTGTATACAATTATCAAATATAGTCTATGCATCTGCTGGAGTAATCAGATGTATACAATTATAACATATAGTCTATGCATCTGCTGGAGTCATCAGATGTATACAATAATCAAATATAGTCTATGCATCTGCTTGAGTAATCAGATGTATACAATAATCAAATATAGTCTATGCATCTGCTGGAGTAAACAGATGTATATGATTATCACTAATATAGTCCATGTACCTGTTGGAGTAATCAGATGTATATGATTATAACATAGAGTCTATGCATCTGCTGGAGTAAACAGATGTATACACTTATAACACATAGTCTATGCATCTGCTGGAGTAATCAGATGTATACAATAATCAAATATAGTCTATGCATCTGCTGGAGTAAACAGATGTATATGATTATCACTAATATAGTCCATGTACCTGCTGGAGTAATCAGATGTATACAGTTATAACATATAGTCTATGCATCTGCTGGAGTAAACAGATGTATATGATTATCACTAATATAGTCCATATACCTGCTGGAGTAATCAGATGTATATAATTATTACATATAATCCATGTACCTGCTGGAGTACAAGATCTGCACACAATGCCTTGTCTCAAGTGTCCCTTCTGAATATGTTCCCTGCGAAGGTTTGCTCGTCTTACGGCCAAATTGTGTTGTCTTTCCTGGTCGCTCTCACATCTAAAAAACAGAAATAGATTACAAATAAACAATTGTTAATATTGTAAATTTTACAATAAATGTACGAGGGGTGTTCATTAAAGATTTCCCCTGACCCACTTCCGATGGACCTAGTGGAATGAAACTTGGCATAGGTATTAGTCTTTCTCCACGTGGAACCACCAAGAGTTACACACTTCTCCCATCGTTTTATGCAACTATGGAGACCTCGCTTGTAAGAGCCCTCATTTTGCGTCTCAAACCAGGACTTGACTTCAGAAATCAGTGTTTCATCATCTGTGAAACGTTTTCCCTTCAAAAATGACTTCATGGTTGGAAAGAGGTGGAAGTCAGATGGTGCAAGGTCAGGAGAGTAAGGAGGATGTGGAAGGATTTCATAGCCACAGGACCGCGCTTCTGTCTGGGCAACATGAGAGTTGTGTACTGGAGCATTATCTTGCAGGAGACGGACACCCTTGGTCAGCATGCCACGCCTCTTAAGCTTGATAGCGTCCTGCAATTTCCGCTGCAGTGAAGCATAATAAGCTCCTGTAATTGTGGTACCCTTTGCCAAGAAATCCATCATCACTACTCCGTGCTGGTCCCAAAACGCCGTGAACATGACCTTGCCTGCAGAGGGTTGGACACGTGCCTTCTTTTGGGGTGGTGACTCCACATGCTTCCATTGCATCGACTGAACTTTAGTCTCAGGATCATAGTGATGGAGCCATGTTTCATCCTGTGTGATAAGTCTGTCAAAAAAGTTTGCCTGTTTTTTTTGGCACATGTCCAAAAGATCCTTTGAGCAATTGACTCGTTCCTGCTTTTGGAAAGGTGTGAGCAACCTGGGAATCCATCGTGCAGACACCTTATGCATGTTCAAATTGTCATGGATGATTTTTTCCACAGACCCTACACTGATCTTGACATCTTGTGCTAACTGGCGAACAGTTATACGTCGGTCTGCCAAAATGGCGGTCTCCACTTGATGGATAGTGTGTCCTCATCAATGGCTGAATGGGGGCGACCAGGAATGGCAGCTGTTTCCACAGATGTCCGACCACACTTGAACTGGCGATGCCAGTGTTTAACAACGTCATATGATGGGGCATCTTCCCCATAAGTTGCTTTCATTTCATCGAAAGTTTCTTTTGGTGTGCAACCTTTCAAATATGAAAACCTAATCACTGCTCGGTATTCTACTGGCTCCATTGTCACACCCTACTTGATCATAACACCTGTAAAAGTGGTAAGATTAATAGTTCGGTGCTGCAAATTCAGACATAACTCATAGATACATGTATCATTACACATGTGAAATTTCAACCATATATGATAACCCTAAGTGGTTTAGGGGAAATCTTTAATGAACACCCCTCGTATATCTCACATTCTTCTTTCGATCCTAGGTGGAAACGTTCTTAAACAAAGGTTTCACTCTTCTAAAAAACAGTTCACCTGAACACACCTAGCATCACCATGATCACCTCCAAACAATCTGGGTCATGCACGGATTTCATGCCAGTCGACCTGCATGCACTGAACACATGATTACCCCAGCCAACTTATTCTCATTCTGGAGCTTAATTGGCTAGAGGAATTATGATGCAGGGATGGACATGTGGGCATATAGCGTGTGAGATAGGATAAGCATATTAATATACAATTTTTTGTAAAATTTACAAATGTTTAAACTTATCTTATTTCACACTATGCATTTATCCCACGGTTGGAAGGTGGGGCGTAAATCCCTAGTCTATAAAGGCAACAACTGTAGGATATACACGAGGAAGCTGGAAATAAACACAGACAGAACCATATTAATTAACACTGTCTATTGTCATAACACAAAAGAGTGTTGTGACCCTAATACGTGAACAGCGGAAAAACACATGAAGTCGGGTACAATATGGGACCTGCACACACTCTCTCCCGAAGACAGTAGGACCACATGCATGTGTCCACACCTACCTGGGACCTGCAACCACTCTCTCCTGAAGACAGTAGGACCACATGCATGTGTCCACACCTACCTGGGACCTGCACACACTCTCTCCCGAAGACAGTAGGACCACATGCATGTGTCAACACCTACCTGGGACCTGCACACACTCTCTCCCGAAGACAGTAGGACCAAATGCATGTGTCCACACCTACCTGGGACCTGCACACACTCTCTCCCGAAGACAGTAGGACCAAATGCATGTGTCCACACCTACCTGGGACCTGCACACACTCTCTCCTGAAGACAGTAGGACCACTTGCATGTGTCCACACCTACCTGGGACCTGCACACACTCTCTCCCGAAGACAGTAGGACCACTTGCATGTGTCCACACCTACCTGGGACCTGCACACACTCTCTCCCGAAGACAGTAGGACCACTTGCATGTGTCCACACCTACCTGGGACCTGCACACACTCTCTCCAGAAGACAGTAGGACCACATGCATGTGTTCACACCTACCTGGGACCTGCAACCACTCTCTCCTGAAGACAGTAGGACCACATGCATGTGTTCACACCTACCTGGGACCTGCACACACTCTCTCCCGAAGACAGTAGGACCACATGCATGTGTCCACACCTACCTGGGACCTGCACACACTCTCTCCAGAAGACCTGTCGCCATCAGAACTGCCTCATAGTCAGTCTCCATGTTTGCACATAATGTCTCCAAATGAAGATAAAGCAAGTGTAGTCTGCGATTGACTGCAGTAAGGTCCTTTGATGCAGGAGATTTCAGCCATCTGAGAAGATTGTCTTGATCTCTGTCATATCGGCTAACAAGGTCAGCCAGAAGATTGACTGCTGGAACTGAAATATCAGTGAATGAAATCAACTGATTACACAGACACAGACAAAGACACACAATATTTAGCATAATTAACATTATCCAACCGATGTATTGCTTAAAAGCGGCATTTTTGCTACTTGTTTTTAAAAAAACATTGTGTACAGATTGTTGTTGGCAGATAGATGACTGTGACCTCTGACATTTATATCTATGCTATTTACATTTTCTGTGCACTTATGCTACCCCTGCGTCACAGGGCCATATGACCCAGTTGAACCAATCAACTCAACTCGAAAGGGTGCACGAGAATCACGCACGTTGAGACGCCCAACACTAACACCGTATTCGTGCGTGCGTGATTCCCGTGCACCCTTTCCTGTTGAGTTGATTGGTTCAACTGTGTCATATGGCCCTGTGACACAGAGGTAGCATTATGCAGATGGCTGTTTCAATGAATGCTCGTTCCACCTGTGACGAACAGGTCTGGTTGATGATGAAATATTTACATTTAGTACTAACTACTAAATGACTTTATCGCGCGTATCAAAACCATTGGCTAATCACGTCCGTAACCCAATCACCCCTCGTAACTCAATCACCCCGGGTCACCACTCTGCACCGTGCCCGGGGAATATTCCTGCGCGAGCATCATCCCGCCTTTTGTTAGTCCATCATTCGCGGACAGTCCTTCTTCAAGTACACACGCGTTCACTGTATCTAATCGCTTTCCCACCCACCCACCCAGCTTGCCACTCCTTTTCTTTCCTTTTCAACCTGATGTGTCCTCTTCACCTGGAATGCTAATCACTTCTTTTCTTCAGCGTTTATTCTATTACAGGTACCAGCAGAGCAGATTGTATATATGTAAATAAACCTGTACATAAAAAACACTTGTTTTCCAGTCTTCAACATGACTGGTAACATTCCAGCTGTTCAAATATTGACCAATTGTCATTTAAATTAAACATTCCCATATGCCAGTGAACATTTCCAGATTATCAGAACAAACCAATGCCCGAATGTCTCCGCATGATATTGGTACAGCAATAGTCTCAGTTAGTGCTACAGTGGGACTTCTGTTCATTTCGTTCGGAATATTAAAAAATTGATATGTTAAGGTAGTTAATGGTCATTCACTATCACAAATCACTTCTGAACAGCTATTGGAGTGTATTTCAAATGAACAAGAATAAAATCTTCATGGATCTTAACCTACGTAAACTTGTAGACAACACATGCATACAAGTTTTGCCTCATCTTCCCTGGGCAAGGGAGTTAACTGACTCTAAAAGTCCACTTTCCGCCCTTGGCGAAATAGGCTGGAATTTCATGGCTGGATCATAACATCACTAGTGGCTATTACAAGTTATGTCCCTTCTATGCTCCTCCTGTCTGATCAATCAGATTCCACCTCTCATATCATTTACATTTGCTTAAAAAAAAAAAGGGGGCACCCGATCCAGATGATCTGATCAAGTTAATCGAAGAAACATTTCACATTCCAGGCCTCACAGACACCAGGCTTTGCAGGATCAAAAAGACATTTTCGTTTTGACAAGGATGGGTAGTGGGAAATCACTATCATACGAATGTGTGACAGTTTTTATATGAAGGTTTGAGCATTATTGTACTCACACCACTGACCTCCATCATGGTAGAATAGTGTGAGCAGCTAAACAACCTATACTTTCTTTAGGATGAGGCCCTGCTTTGGAAGGGTTTGGTTCATGTATGCTCGATGCACCAGGGACTAAATGGTTTGTGTGGTAAGAATCAATAACTTGGTTGATTACAAGTCATGATACAATGGACTTTCATGCTCATATCATGGAACTGTTCTGGGTGAACAATACCTTCCAAATGACGTGCTGGTTTTCTTGGGGAATTAGTCAGCAAAGAGCCAGAGTCACAGGAGACTAATCACAATTTTATTTACAAGAACAATTAACAATTTACAATATACTTAGATAATAACTGAGGGTGCCACAGAGAGTCGGTACAACACTCTGGGCTGTGGGAGAGAGGTCTGCTTGGTAAGTTGGTCAAACCCCTTCTCTGCCTAAAACCTGCCTACAGTATGTATTTAACAAAAATTTAAACAATAGAAAGGAATGTGATTGGTTGATACACGATTGGTTGTGTCCTAAGCTAAATGGATGGCTAGACAGAGGGGAATACTAAATCCTGTTTATCCTGTTGGACTGGCACTAATCTTGTTGACATATTTACTGGATGCTTTGAAAGAGATTAGGGTGTCACTATAGATGAGCTTGTGTGGGGGCTAATCCTTAATGCCCTATAGACGAGCTTGTATGGGGGCTAATCCTTAATGCACTATAGACGAGCTTGTATGGGGGCTAATCCTTAATGAGTCTTAATTGAAATAATGTTATTCTAATATACCCCGGTGGGTGATGACAGATATACTTAAATAAATATCCTTTGTCTGGGAGATGGGATCTTGATACCTTAGGCTAGCATTTATCTAAAAGCTTTAAATCAATTAAACTATGTAGACGTAACTCTTGTCTTATTGAATAGTATGTCTAGAAGATGCGCTCCCATTACCTTAGGCTAGCAACCATCTAAAAAAAGCTTTAACTGAAACTACTGATATTTTATATATGCATTTTACCTAATGATATTTATTACTTAAACTATAATTATATGAAATGATGTATAAATATTACACCATGATAACTCATAAAAGCACTTGATGTAGATCTAATTATTATAAGATAACTTAGTATAAATGTTATCCCATGTGGGGGCTAATCCTTAATGCCCTATAGACGAGCTTGTATGGGGGCTAATCCTTAATGCACTATAGACGAGCTTGTATGGGGGCTAATCCTTAATGAGTCTTAATTGAAATAATGTTATTCTAATATACCCCGGTGGGTGATGACAGATATACTTAAATAAATATCCTTTGTCTGGGAGATGGGATCTTGATACCTTAAGCTAGCATTTATCTAAAAGCTTTAAATCAATTAAACTATGTAGACGTAACTCTTGTCTTATTGAATAGTATGTCTAGAAGATGCGCTCCCATTACCTTAGGCTAGCAACCATCTTAAAAAAGCTTTAACTGAAACTACTGATATTTTATATATGCATTTTACCTAATGATATTTATTACTTAAACTATAATTATATGAAATGATGTATAAATATTACACCATGATAACTCATAAAAGCACTTGATGTAGATCTAATTATTATAAGATAACTTAGTATAAATGTTATCCCATGATAACTGTTATCATGGAACTGTTCTGGGTGAACAATACCTTCCAAATGACGTGCTGGTTTTCTTGGGGAATTAGTCAGCAAAGAGCCAGAGTCACAGGAGACTAATCACAATTTTATTTACAAGAACAATTAACAATTTACAATATACTTAGATAATAACTGAGGGTGCCACAGAGAGTCGGTACAACACTCTGGGCTGTGGGAGAGAGGTCTGCTTGGTAAGTTGGTCAAACCCCTTCTCTGCCTAAAACCTGCCTACAGTATGTATTTAACAAAAATTTAAACAATAGAAAGGAATGTGATTGGTTGATACACGATTGGTTGTGTCCTAAGCTAAATGGATGGCTAGACAGAGGGGAATACTAAATCCTGTTTATCCTGTTGGACTGGCACTAATCTTGTTGACATATTTACTGGATGCTTTGAAAGAGATTAGGGTGTCACTATAGATGAGCTTGTGTGGGGGCTAATCCTTAATGCCCTATAGACGAGCTTGTATGGGGGCTAATCCTTAATGCACTATAGACGAGCTTGTATGGGGGCTAATCCTTAATGAGTCTTAATTGAAATAATGTTATTCTAATATACCCCGGTGGGTGATGACAGATATACTTAAATAAATATCCTTTGTCTGGGAGATGGGATCTTGATACCTTAGGCTAGCATTTATCTAAAAGCTTTAAATCAATTAAACTATGTAGACGTAACTCTTGTCTTATTGAATAGTATGTCTAGAAGATGCGCTCCCATTACCTTAGGCTAGCAACCATCTAAAAAAAGCTTTAACTGAAACTACTGATATTTTATATATGCATTTTACCTAATGATATTTATTACTTAAACTATAATTATATGAAATGATGTATAAATATTACACCATGATAACTCATAAAAGCACTTGATGTAGATCTAATTATTATAAGATAACTTAGTATAAATGTTATCCCATGATACTCATAATCTCAATCACCTGTTTGTCTGGTCCAGATTTGATTATTTGTAAACCAACATAATATATTTGGAATATTGCTGAGTGTGGCATTCACACAATAAACAAAAAAAGAACATTTAAAACAATGAGACCTTCTATATATAAGTCATAAATTGTAAATTTACTGCATACTTTGATTAGGTTCACAAGAGTGTGGTAGGTATGAAGGGTTCAGTAACACTTCCATGTTTTGAGCATCAGGTCCAAAGGGAAGACACAAAAAGTCTTGAGGTAAAAAGGCTTTCCTATGTTTTCAGAGAGCATCCTAACTTGTTTTTGACATGAGTAGGTTGACTTAAGCTGAGACAGCTTGGTTTCACATTGTCATGGACACAAAAAACTCAGCTGATTGTTTAAGTACACAGGTCAGTGCCATATGCAGTCTGACCATTTTAACACTTAGACACATTCTATTTTTACCCAAATGCAAATAATGAAATCTCTCACCACAAATATAAGCACACATTAGAATGGTACCACATATTTGACATACGAGTAGCAAGTTGAGTTATTTCCTAGCTTCAGACAAAGCCACAGATCTATGCACCGATATATTCTTGTGTGAGAAATACTATACCTGGTGTTTCAGCCTCATCGGTGAACTGCTTAGGTTGCCCCATCAAAGCTTGTAGGCTTGGCAGGGTCTTGGAAAAAGAAAACAGACGTTGAGCACAAGATGAATCTAGAATTACAGGTAAAGGGTTATTGATAAATGTGCAAAAGAGACAATATTATCAGTTTAGGTTTACTTTTAATATTACTCTCCCTTCATATATTTCATATTTGCTTAGTTTCTTTTCATTGCTCTCTCTGAGTTTTGAATAATTGCCAAAGCGTTTTTTTAGAATGCCTCTTTCTCTAGCATACCTGTGATTTGGGTCCAATGATTCTGTGCATTTCCTCTAGTCTGCCTTCTCCCCTGAGGGCCTTTTCCTCTTTCTGAGCTCGCTGAAGCTCCTTCTGCTGTCTGTCAGTAGAAAACCTGAACGAAACATGACTTTCAGTTGATCTTTGACCCTAGACCACAACTTTACTGCTTCCCTCACTGATCGCCTTGCCTCACTCATGCAGTACTCTCATGCAGACTGCACAGTCTATACTGCAGCAATTGTCTCACAAACAGGGAATGTCAGTCATAGTGCTCTGGACGCCCCAGTTTATATACCCATAGAATATTATACGAGTATGTGTGTCATACTGATTTTAGAAAATGAGTATCAGAATTTGTGTATTTCCCGAGCAAGAGCCAGGGTAAAACATGAATCCTGACACAAGTTTCGTAAAATCAGTGTAACACATATGCGAGTGTATACGTAACAATTCCTCTACTACCCATTGTTTCTTAACCTTTTGAGCTCCCCTTTAGAAAAATGCACTGATCATGACCACCGTCTCAGAAAACCACAATTGTTGAATGACGTCAGCAAACTTCAGCTATGACGTGAACAAACTTCAGCTATGATGTCATTTCTAGTGTGATGTCATGCCTGCCTTACGCCACAATACAATTCAAATGATGTCAACAATGATGTCAATAAAACACCGGGGTGTAAAGTGATATTTGCACTAGTGCACATATGTTTTTTATGAACTTGGTTATTTCTAACTGTATGGGCAATAAATGTTTGTACAAAAATGCATGACATATCCAGTTTGATCATGCCTCCCAAAAGATATGCCATGGTGAACCAACACCTTGTCAGGAGAGGGAACACACCCAGGATGGAGCCAGCAAGCAGACCAGCCATGGACACTGGCCACTGGAAAGTCTTTTAGATCACCTTGACCTTCGTGAAATGGGACCCCATAACAAAACATGCATATATCTGCTCCTTTTTTACTTGAAGCAGGTGATAATGCAAATGTTCTGCCATGAGTTTCCACCAAAGCCAGCATCAAAGAACTCCAACCTGCGGTGTCTCCCATTCCGTTGATGCAAACGATATCCACCCAGCTCAGTAACATCCTGGAAATGCTGGGCAAGGAGGTGACAACTTTCCTGTCATTATGTTTTATGTCAAAATGATGATGTGAATCTATGATCGTCATGAGATCGTATTAAAAGAAACATCAATATTTTCACTCATGTAAGCATTCATTTAAATCTGACCCAACGATAGTAAACAATCTATTTTAAATCTGGCACGGAATAATTGACGCGCTTGTTGTCTCCCCTGTTCTATGAACTTTTTTTTCTCGTCTTCACTAATACCACTGGTCTTACGAGAATTGGATCGAATCTCCTGCTTCATTGCGTTGTATTTGGTGAGTTCTGACAGCACTAAACGAAACTCATCCTCGGATATCTTACAATCAGCTAATGCTGTTGAAATATGGTCCTCAATGCTGTTCAACTTTGCTTTGGTGAGTATCCGAATATTATCATGTTTTAATGCTTTCTTTTGCAACTTACGAGAAATGAATTTTATTGCTATTCCTGCCAGTCCTTAGACTCCGGCGGCTATTTCCATACCAAGTACAATAGGCGCAGCGATTATAGTTGATAATAAACCAACACCGGCCACACCGAGTCCCATGCTAGCTGTTACAAGCACGATGTCAACTCCATCGAGAGCATTAACAGCTCTACGATACTTTTTATACAATCCAAGTCTCAACTCCCTCTCCTTCTCTATTCGTTGTTTTATGTCGCTTATTTGATGTAATCGAAATCCATCAACAGTATCCATCTTTTCATCGAGCGCTGGATATAAACCCATCGTGTATATTATTATATCATATAATAGTCTTTAATTGGTCTTGCTTCAATGTTTTGAGAGTATACATCAACCTTATCAAATGTATATTATACGGCATGAATATCTTAGTAAGAGAAATGCTGTCACTTTTAATAATTTGGACCCCCTCAAGGGTTGCAATGGGTGATACTCCCATATAAATAATACTGCAACGTTGACGTTGGTGTTTCTTTAGCCATTTAATTAATAGACCTGGTAATATTTCGAAGGCATCTACCGGTGCATCTCCAAACAAGACTTCAATAATAAGCATAGAAAGATCAGGTATGGCACTCAAGTTATCTTTAATATCATTGAATTCAGTAACCAAATTTAAACTAACATTTTATGCCGGACGACTAAATAACATATGACCTGGGTTTTCTGGCAGGGGGGTGACTAACACACTTTTTCGTTTTGATGGGATATAAGCGCCGAGTACGATCCCACTATTTATTATCTTAGTTAAATTATGTGCCTTACCCGTCATCACATACGGTGTGGTAATGACGATATTCAGTAGCCACTTAATTTTTGCTTCGATCATAGTCCATTCATTATCATCGTTGCGAGTAAGATTATACGAAGTGTTTTTATGAAGTCTACTAACGTCGACATTGCTTAAATCTCCTAGATTACCTGTGAATGCAACTTCGTTCCGCTTGTATACATTATCTAGTGTAAAGCGTATAACTTACCATCGGTGCCGGGTTTACCAAATCCTTCTGTGTCTCCTAGATCGGAAAGCACAATTGTATTACATTGTCTGAGTGTTCAAGGGCCTGATGAATCAACCATTATTTATAATATGGAGTGTTACACCCAAGTATCCTATATGTACAGATTGATGTTTTACATCTAATACAGAAATTTTGAGATCTGGAATAATACCACGCTTTAATTTTTTATATTGTAATGAGAAAGATTCCGTTCTACCGCTATTATATTTTTCATCTTTGACTGGAATAGCTCTGAGTAGAGTTGAAGGACTTTCTAGTTGAATATTATCCGTCGTGTTTATCTGATCAAGATGGATGAACAACTCTTTATAGGGAACTAAATCGGGTAATTTAACTCCATTTCATTGGGTTGTTTTACTACTTTTTGATAAAGAATTATAAGTGTTTCTTTTATGTTATCGCTAAGATATACACCCTTTTCTCCAATGCTTAAAAACAGCATCCCATTCGACTCATTTTGTGTGAGACAAGCTCCGAAAGGCTTAAATACTTCATCATTGAGTGAGCATACGCTGTAATACCCATCGGATATAGTGGTAGGAATGATTTTACTAATGTTTCCACTATCGTTGAATTCACCTATTAAAATCTTATTATTATCTCTTGCAGCACTTATATTGGTCCACCGCGGGTAATACGTTACATCACAGATATTGACTTCAAGTTGTCCATCCGAGTTATCGGTAGTATGAAGCAGTTGAATAGACTGGCCATTTGTTATTCCTGGGAGCGTAACATACATTTTAAATATACAAAAATACTATATCATAACTTAAATATGTAATCAAACATTATTGGTTTCACAATCCAATGCAATTTTGGCAGAACCAGTTAAACTTTGCCATATGGTGTGCAACAACAGGATGTGGTGTATCTCTTTATGCCCCAGGATTTGAACTAAATAAGTCTGTTTTATTATTTCACGTGTACTATCAGATTAGACATATACTTAAAGAAATAACTGCCCCATTATTGCGGGATCGAGCATGGAATTCCACAAATAATCCGTACAATAGGTGGGCATTCGAACGTATTTGTCAGGAATTTAATGTTTCTACGAGTAAAGATTGGCGTCTGAGTGGAGTTAACCATGGTCTAGGTATTCCGAACGCTGGTGCAAAACTCTGTTAAAGAAGTCAGCGATGATTTACTGAAAAGAGGTCGGCATCTTCCGAGCTTTGCTCTCTCGAGTAACGAGTGGAGAGATGATCGTATGAACTTTAAGGGTGGTGTTGCTTTCACCATCCAAAAGGTTCAGCAACCACTCGGAATGAATTTCTAAATGAAAAAACAGAAAATAATTTTACTAACCCAAGAGTTGTAAGAGTTAATGAATCAATAAGAACTTATGTATGGGCAATTCTTGGTGCACAATTGCAAACACGAACGTCCATTATTGGTTCTGGGACGGCGCTTGATGCGCAAAAACAGTTTGTCGCAAATGTGGAGGATGCTATTAATTCACCAGTTGACATACCATCTTCTATAAAACGTTATCAAGATATATTACAGTACGCTCAATCCAAAGTAGACTACATTTATGCGCCGGGACTATACATGTCTCCGAGTAATATGGAACTTAAGATCGGTCAAGTGATTGGTTATAATAATAAAATTGTTATTGCTACTGATCAACAAAAACCAGGTATAAATTCAGATATTAACACCGATTTAATAACGCAAACAAACACAGGTGAAACGGGAATAGTCAAGCCACAGATATCTACTGACGCTCCTACTAACACATCTACTGACGCACAACCACAAGTGCCACCACATATTGCAGCTAAAAATCAACAACATATCGATGAAAAAACAGCTCTTACAGTAGGTGGAGTCGCGGCTGGTTTACTCATGATTTCGTTAAATAGTCTTTACTTTAACGGATACGTACAACAGCCCTGCAATTGCTACGATTAGTGCCCACAAATTTTGACTAAGCCAAGTGGTGGTCTTTGCTAATAAATTCAAGAGCCAGGAAACGATACTCCCTATTATACCTGGAAGTGCAGACGCGGCTTTCCCAGAGAGCTTTCCCAGTGCTTCTCCTAATGCTTTTAAATGTTTTTTTATCCACTCTTTTACACCCTTTTTATCACTGGATGGTGCACCACCTCCTGAACTCCACCGCCACTGGTTAACGCGAGTCAAAGTCGATATAATAAATCCCAATGCGGTAAAAATACTGGCAATGGTTATTCCCTGTTCTCTGAACAATGTTTTAATTTTATCGGCCAGTGTAGTATCATCGTTGAGGACTTGATTGATAGTTTCTCGAATTAGACTGATTTGTTAAGGAAGTGCCTTTCTATTACTGGAAGCTGCTTCGAGGCGGGCCGATTTTCGTCTTCTAAGTTACGCAATCTTTCTGCAACGCGGCGTCTACTGAATTCATCACCCGCCTGTTCAAGTTTTGTTTTCTCATAAGCTATATGCTTGTCTAGTTCGGATAGCTTGGCTACATTATTGATCAGTTCTCCCCGCATTGTTTGCATTGCGTTGTCAAGACCTCGTAATTCACTAATACTGAACTCTGAGGATGGTACACTGACCGTGGAATTATCGTAGTAGGTACCAAAGATTTCTCCGAGTCCGTTCAAGGCCAGCTTGGAGCTTTCTTCCAAATTATCTATGGTACCGAGTTCAGCACGCACAGTCCGAAGAACCTAAGTAGTCTTCGCGGAAAGTTTTTCTCGTGAGTAGTCCACAAAACCTAATTCATCACGAACAATGTTGATGCCATGTTTACTGGCTATCGTAGACAAGGCTAGGGGCTTACGAGTACAAGAATTCATAAGATCAATATCCGGAGAGCCACTCAGTCGCAATATTCCTTTACTATCTAGTTCAAACTTTGAATAGTCACGACCAATTGGGGTTTCTTTAAAGGTATCGTAATAATCATTAACGGTTGATTGTAAAAGTTCATCGCTAAGATTCATGCCACCAAAGCTGGTTTCATCAGTACCCTCTTCGATTGTACTAGGGTTATCAAAGTCATCTAGATTAAAATCATCCATTTTTATATTAAACATAAGGTTACATAATTTCAATATAACAATGTCTTCGCAATACGGACGCAAGTTAAACCCACAATGTAGACTACAGGATCCATTAGGGGTTAAAGCAATTTGTCAGTCTGTAACTATAACTTATAACCCGAGTACCATTGATCAGAATCAAACGCTTCTGGTTCGCTTTCCTAATCTCAGCGCACACGATGTGTTAGTTCCGGGAACTGTCCGACTAGCATTTACAATTAGTTTGACTTCTACAGATGTTCACAGGGAGCCTGTTCAGAACATAGGTCGTGCTATCGTTAAGAAAATCGCGATTAAAATTAGTGGTAATGAGGTTTTGAGTATCGACAATAGCGATGTATATTTCTGCTACATGGATCTCTGGAGAACCGATAAAGGGCGGGAAAACTTACAGTACCAAGGTATTTGTAATTGGAACACATTGAGACTGCGTGTGGGTGCTGATAATGGTGATAGTACCGTTGTAAAAGATCTCGCTGTTGCCGGCGCATTAGGTAACCGATTCTATATTCCGCTAGACTTTGAATTACTAGATAGTCACATGCCCTTCTATCAAGCATCCCTAGGTGATAGGTTAGAATACGAACTAACTTTTAATGACTACGGTAGAGTAATCAGAGCTGCTGAAGATGCTAGCTATTCCATTGACAATATCTCACTGGAGTATGATATGATAACAGATCCTGAATTAGCCAGACAAATTCGTAACCAGTATACAGGAAGTATAGCTATTTTGTACGATCGCGTGCTTCGACACTGAAAGATCATAAGGAGCAAAAAAGATACGACATGGAATATCAATCTAAACGTCCCCACGAGATCGTTGAAAGGTATTTTAATGTTGTTCGAGGACCCCTTCGATGCAATTAAAAGAAATACCGAGAAGTTCTACAATCCCAAGATTACAAAAGTAGAATTGACTATCGAGGGCGTTCCTAATCAACTATAGTCAAGGAATGCTAGCATATCAACAATGGGATGAGATTAAAAAACTCCCTTCTATAAAACGAAGCCCAGAAGTTAACATGGTCGCGAAAGATCTGTCTCTCGGGGATGTATCGATGGGTGAATACCTCACCACGAAGTACGCACTATGGCTGGACATGCGAACCACGGACGATGACCAACTACACGGTAGTGGGCGGAGAATAGAAAATGCTAGCGAGGGTGTCACTATACAGATAACGAAGCTCCAGGAAGTGGCTGGTAAATTAAACATATATTTGTACGTGATTATATATGCGCAACTTAATATACAGAATGGAAGATTCGTGTAAGCTCTCTATTAATAATCTTTTACCTAAAGAACCGCACTGCGCTATCATCTGCGGGCAAACGGGTTGTGGAAAAACAGCTTTAGAATAGATATTTTACAAAGTCATTATCGGGACGTTTTCGATCATATTATTATTCTGTGATCGACTATAAGCGTTAATAAAACATACCTTTCGAGAGATTGGGTAATGAATGATCCCGGGGTGTACAAAGTTGATCCAGGCGATTGTTTACAAGACTGTTTACGAGTATGTCACGAAAAATACAAAGGAGAATCAACCCTTTTCATAATAGACGATTGCAGTGCGAGTAAAGAACTCACCAAAAAGAAAGATATGCTTTCATATTTAGCATTCTCTGGTCGACATACTAAGCATAGCGTTTGGGTACTTACTCAAAAGTACAACTCTGTCCTGAAAGATCTGAGAGAGCAAACTAAATGGGTAGCCCTGTTTCATTGCATAGATCCAGATTCATTTGAGGAATGTCTATGTGAAAATGATGTTATTTATACCAAGTCCGAGCAAGATAAAGTCAGCAAACTGTCAGCAGCAACGAAGCACTGTAAACTCGTATTAAAAACCGATCAACCAGCTGCTTATGCAATTGCTTAGCAAAAATAGCAACTGCTAAGCAAAATTATAGGAATAATAGCAACTGCTGAGAAATATTATAGCAACTGCTAAGCAAAATTACAGCAAAAATAGCAAAATTATAGCAAATTATGGGAAATAGCAAAAAGATAGCAAAATAGCAAAAATATGATAATTGAACATTAGCGGTTATTATGTAATAATGTGGCTTGAAATCCTCATTCTTTCACAACATTTTATTATTACTGGTTGTATTGGATATGCCATATTTTATTATGTTAGACTTAATATCTCCTTAGGTATTACATTATGGAATGCGACGAACTCATCGAACAAATGCTCAAAGAACCTGATCAACATACAGAAGAACATGTAGATAAATCTTTAGATAAACATAGAGAAAGACTCGCGGCTTTGGTAGCCGTCGAAAATGTTCCCAATATTTTGGGGAAAATTATACCATCGAAAAAATTGATAACATGACCGATGATGAAATTAAAAAACTGTACTCGCGTTACGAGTCTAGGCTGGGAACTACCATGACTAAAACAATAGGGTCGGCTATGTTACAACTATACACAGTAGTAGCTAGTACGTTTCTTCCTATCCCAGGAGAACATCACATGTATTTATGCAAATCTCTCGAGAAAGACCCATTCATCGAACACACTATAAGCGCAGTGAGCTGTGAGTTTTATCATAGATACGGAATGTTCTTAGCTCCACTCACCAGAGCTTTAATAATTGCTAGGTATTGTCAATTTAAACATAAGTGCCCACTTAATGATAACGGAGACTCAAATGACACCACAGATTGTGGAGACGCAACAACAAGTGAACGAGGAAATAACCCTGATTGCACAATCACAACAGATTGTGGAATCACAATCACAAGAGATTGTGGAACAAGTGAATGAGGAAATACCAGCAATTGCGAAATCACAAGCCAGAGTTACTAGGAACCCCAGAAAAATCGCCGCTGGTATAAAGGGTGTGTTAGCGAGGAAGGCTAGAAAACTAATGCATAATTCAAATATTGAACATAGTCGTCTGATTAAAACTTGGGCTCTCTATGCACTAGGAGTTGTTGCTATGGTGGTGGTATGGTTGTTTTATAAGACCAGAGAAGAGAAAACGTCACCCCTGATTACACAACAACAAGTTCAATTAGAGGTTAGCCCCATATAATGCTATAAAAAAAGCATGACTACTCCAGTTACAGACGGTAAAATGTTGGTAAACGCAACGTATCATTCAGCGGTGGTCAGCGGCTTGGCCATTGGCTATGCTCGTATAGCTAAAATGATTACTAAAGCCACACCACCCAAGCTAGATCTTAATGGTTATGATAGCGGTATGATCATTCTTGATATAGGATTAGCAATGGCTACAAAAGATATGCTCATCAAACAAGGGCTTATCCCGGAAGACATAATGAAGTAATTAAACATTTGAATATTTTATATTCATTTAAACTCCATCATCCAATCCTTGGTTGATATGCTAGTAGCACACGGACAAAGTAATTGTCTTAAACGACAAACAACAAGAAATCCAGCGCTAGTGCCATATGGGCTGGAAAAGGAAAACAAACGATTCCTCTTGGGGGCAAAGGTCATTTAATAATGACAAATGTTTAATCGAAACATAAAACCTCCGGGTGGGAGGGTGGGTAACAAACAGACTGAGAAAAATCACCTGCACAACGTGTAGTTTGCAAGTTACATTTGGCGCCTGTGACGTGTCCCTTGCAACAATAAAAAAACAAATACCGCTTACAGCATAATCAGCCACTGACAGTCTGGATTGTCTCCCCTTGACTGTTAAATAAATGGACATTAAATCAGATGCCATGGCATTGCCGTTTAAATTAAAATAAACTAAGGTTTATTTCTCACTTAAACTCCATCATCCAATCCTTGGTTGATATGCTAGTAGCACACGGACAAAGTAATTGTCTTAAACGACAAACAACAAGAAATCCAGCGCTAGTGCCATATGGGCTGGAAAAGGAAAACAAACGATTCCTCTTGGGGGCAAAGGTCATTTAATAATGACAAATGTTTAATCGAAACATAAAACCTCCAAACCCCCCAAGAGGAATAACCTGGTGAAAGTTCTGTGGTTTGACTTAGTTCACTATCCCTGCACTGAGAGATTGAGCAAGTTTCTCATGCATTGCATCATACACTGTAACATAGCGCTCATATGCATTGGAGCGCCAATCACCACGTAGCTTTATAAGCAAGGGTGGAATGCCAATGTCAAATGCATAGGAACATCCGCCTCTGCGGAAAGAGTGACCGCTGTATGCACCAGAATCATAACCACATTTGTCCAGATAATATTTCAATGTTTTAACAAAACTTTTGTAAGTTAAACTCTTGAGGACTCCACTTCTGTCCACATATGAAAACAAAGGTGCATTTGAATGTTGAAGTTCTTCACTATATTGTGAAAGCAAATGTTCAAGTGCTTTAACAGGACAAAGCACAGAGTCGGGTACCCTAGCCAGCGGTAACTTTAACACTCGCTGACCAAACTGTATAGTTTTTGTGTGTCTGACAGTAATCATGGCACTATCTTTGTCAGGGGAAATCTTGGCATCGTGCAGACTCAAGTAGGTCTGCTTTCTTGAACCACTGCCTCTAGTTTCAGGGAGCATGGTAGATTTCCTCAAGAAACAGAAAAACGCAATGATGCAGGCTGCCCAAAAAGCTACCAGGAATGGTTCTGACATGTCCATATGACTGTGCATCCGCCTTAGTATATCTGGTGTTATAGGAAGTTTTTGTTTCGTTGGTGTACCTTTTAGTCTTAAGATACCTTTGTGCAGGGCCTTTTGTTCCCATGTCTCCAAGGGGTTTGGTAACCCCACCTCAAGATGAAGCAGGCGAATGATATTCATATATCCTGGAATACTAGTTGCTGAAAGGGATCTTGTTAGGAACACTCTGTAAAGCAGTACTGTCATGCGGTCGGCTGGAACTGGTGTCCTACTAAAGTACAGACAGAATCTCAGATATGCAGTTTTCATTGAGGAATATGTGCGCTTAGTAGTTTCGGCATATGTTGCCCGTCGAAACTGCTGCATCTCGCTATATAGGTGTCGCCACTGTTGAGCCACTTGCCCTGTAGATAGGACAAAGTTAGTTTGGATACGTGTGAGGATGCTGGCACTAGAATATACTTCCTGTAACAAGTTTCACAACACAACCAATAGAACGGAATAAACTGTATTGATTTATAAAGAAATGTAACATTGTGCAACCTGCTCAGAGAGTCAGCTGCAAGGTTATCTTTGCCTGGGATATATCTGGCTGAAAATTTAAAGTTATGCACAGCAGAAAACCAGAATATCTTGCGCAGCCAACGCATGGCTAATCGGTCACGACTAGTACCTTTGTTAAGGGTATGCATAGTATAAGTATTGTCTGTGTAGACAATGATATGTTTGTCTGTCCAGGTTACACACCAGCGTTTGACTGCTAAATACACAGTGAACAACTCTTTCACATTGATGTGTAAATGTTCAACAAATGGGAAGTCTGTATGCCAATTATAATAGACCCAGTCAGGGCCGAAACATGCTGCGCCACCATCACTGCAGGCATCCGTGGAGAACTTTGCTGCGGGCACCGGTTCATTTTCAATAAATTTCACAGTACCATTAAAACATTCACAAAATTCATGCCACCACTTGATATCAGCCTTTGCGCATACATTCAGCCTGGTATGGTGATTGGGTTTTTTAAGGGTATTACATAAGTCAATTAATCTGCGCATAAATGTGCGCCCTCCATGAACTACCTGTGCTGCCCAATTCAATTTACCTACAATTTCCTGAAGTTGACGCTTTGTTGCTTTCTTTTTCGTCACCCACTTCCCTAATATGTGCTTCAAGTCAAGCAATTTATCCGCAGGTAAGGATAAGGTACAGGTAGTAGAGTCAATCTCTATCCCTAGGAAAGTCAGTTTCTGAGTAGGTTCAACCGTTTTGCTTTCATTTATAGCAAAACCTAGATCGGTCAATAATCTTCTCAATGTCCTGAAGGCTTTCCAACACTCAGAGTTTGTTTTTGCAATGCATAGAAAATCATCAAGGTATACAACTACCACAAAACCTCTGCGCCTTAACATTCTACGAACAGATGACGACAAACGGCTAAATATCTCAGGGCTCTTGGAAGCTCCAAATGGGAGCTTTGTGTCAATCATGTAGACTGGAAGTCTTGAGTTTTTGAACTGCCACAGCAGGCCGGTAGCTTCATAGCAGTCAGGATGTAACGGCACCACACGGTAAGCATTTTTCAGATCCAGTTTTGCCATGTATCCACCCCTCGGCAGAAGTTTGATTGCTTCGTCAATGGTTTGATATTTAAAAGATTGTGTCGTTGCATAATCATTGAGGCTGAGATCACATGGTCTAGAGCAATCATGAATTAAGCGTACCTTCCCAGTGCCTTTTGGTATTGCTCCCAAGCTACTAACAAGCTTTGGTTTTCTGTCTACAATAACATAATTGCCTCGGCTGATTTCCTCTGAAATTTGGTCTTCAACAATTGTTCGTACAGACTCATCTGTGGCAGACTTGTAGTTTTTACAAAGAACATCACTAATTGTTACATCTTTATCAATAATCCAGAAACCATTTTTTATCCCATCAATCAAAAACTCACAATCACTGTCCTCTTCTAATTCCCTTTCCCACACGTTAGTACAATTCCCTATTGGGCTGGAGACTTTATTGTTTATAGGTACGAAACCGTGGTGGGATATCCTGGTGTTCAAACTGGGGATGCCTTTGCTTGCAGCCTGGTACTATACATGTGTGTGCATACTTGCAGTTTGGGAACTTACAACCCGAGGGGTGCTGGTAATTAATGCAAATGGATCTGCCTGACTCATCTGTTGGACGATTGTCACTCTGAGAGCTGGAATGGGCATTCTGAAATGAGTTTGCTTTTCGGGGTTGGAATGTTCTCTTTTCTAAAAAGTAGAATAGGTCATGGAACGATATTTCACTCCAGCCGCACTGGGTCTGTGCTTGTCTCAATCTGTGTGCGTTGTCAAGAAGCATAACTGAAGGGATAGTATATGTTTGACAGAGATCCCCAATTTGAGCTGTGTATTCCAGATAGTCCTTAATTTCATCAATACCTGCTTTCCTGTGGTCGATCAATTTTGACAAAATACGGACATTGGCTGAAACCCACTGTGATAATGGCACATGTTCTGGAAGGGGTTTCCCCCTCGACGACCTTAGATACAGCTGTGCTGACCCATCACCTACTATAGGCGTCTCTTCGCTGGTCATTGATGACCTGGGCTTAGATACAAAGTCAGGAATTAGAAGTGGTTTCTCACCTCGTCCCTGTAGTGAAGCATTTCCGGGTTGTCCCATGTCTAACGACGTGGTGTGGTCTAGGAAGTCTTTGAGGTGTACATCCGACAAGCTGTTTACAAGGTCACTCAACTGTTTGTCACCCGCAAGTGTTTTTGTTGTGACAGGCGACGGCAGCGACTGTACTGGTTGCGGCGATTTCAACTGTTTTATTGCTTGAATTAGGATGTTCCGCTGACCTACGGACAATCTTAGTTCAGTAATGTCATCTAGTGACATCAAGCACAACGCAACTGTACTATCAATGTCTTCATCATTCAAAATTTGTGCGGTCTTACTGTTCAGATGGCTGTCACTGCACCATTGTCGAAAGTCGAACTGACTTGGCTGTTCGTTTCCTTCGCCTTTTGTATTCACAGACATTCTTCTTTGAGTGAATTTTAACAAACAGACTGAGAAAAATCACCTGCACAACGTGTAGTTTGCAAGTTACATTTGGCGCCTGTGACGTGTCCCTTGCAACAATAAAAAAACAAATACCGCTTACAGCATAATCAGCCACTGACAGTCTGGATTGTCTCCCCTTGACTGTTAAATAAATGGACATTAAATCAGATGCCATGGCATTGCCGTTTAAATTAAAATAAACTAAGGTTTATTTCTCACATGAATATGGCAACAATTGCGATGATGGTCGGTAGGGCTATTGATAATGCTCTAGCTTTTTCGGGGAGTAATTATTTATTTTCTACTCTGAGGGAATCAAACGCTAAAGAAGTTGAAAAGGAGCGTAAACGACATAATAAAGCATTAGAACAACTCGAAGCAGCCCAGTCACAATGGACCAGAAATAGGATATTAAGATTAGATTTTATTAATGAAGAACTGCGTAAGCAAGGTCATTCAATTCAAATGTTGAATCTGCCATGCACAAATACTTCCTCGTTTATGGAAAAAAACTTGACCCAATTCAGAGACCAACAATAAGTCAGTTTTATACACCATCAGAGGAACAAAAAAACAGAGAGATAGCATTTATAGCTTTGGGATTGACAGTCATTGTAATTTTCAGTTATACAATAACTACGCATAAACCATGACCTAGTCAGGGTGAGTCTTATCAACCACTATGTAAAACCCCGTTGTGTTTCATAACCTTAGAGGATATGATTCACATCTCATTATGCAAGCTATCTCAAAGACCGACGGCAGCTTAACGTGCATTCCTAATAATATGGAAAAATACATATCAATCTCGTTGACTAAAACTATACATTATACGGACAAGGATGGGAAAGCCAGAATAAAGCAAAGTAATGGGCTTAGATTCATAGACTCCGTACAGTTTCTGTTATCTTCCCTGGACAATTTAGCTAATGCGAACAATCCCGATGACTTTGCAATAACAAATCAATATACTGATCGGCGTCGTCATTTGTTGTTGAGAAAAGGTGTATATCCTTACGAATATATGGATAATTGGTCAAGATTCGATGAAACTAAATTACCACCTCTTGAATCATTCTATAGTAACTTAACAGAATCTAAAATAACCGATTACGATTATGAACACGCTCTGACGGTGTGGGATAAATTAGGTTGTAAGAATTTAGGTGATTATCACGATCTGTACTTAAAAACCGATGTACTGTTACTAGCCGATATATTCGAGATATTTAGAGAGACATGTTTCAAACAATACGGCTTGGACCCGGCATGGTACTATTCCAGTCCCGGACTATTGTGGGATGCGTTGTTGAAGAAGACCGGTGTAGAACTAAAACTACTCACCGATTACGATATGCACTTGTTTATTGAGAAAGGATTAAGAGGTAGTATATCGATGGTAGCGAAAAGGTATTCTAAGGTTAATAATAAATTAGTGGAAGGATATGATCCGAGTAAACCCGACACACATATATTATATCTCGACGCCAACAATTTGTACGGATGGGCTATGAGTCAACCTTTACCCACATGTGGATTTGAGTGGGTTGATGTGAATGATATCAAAGTGAATAATATCCATAATATCAATGTGAATAAAGGGTACATACTAGAAGTTGACTTGGAATATCCAAATTCGTTACATAAAGATCATAACAGTTATCCGCTAGCTCCCGAAAGATTAATGGTGAAAAAAGATTGGATGTCGGAATATCAACACTCCTTTATGGGTAATACTAGGTTAGCTAACGTAGAAAAACTCGTACCAAATTTGATGGATAAGACAAAATATATAGTTCACTACAGAAATCTCCAGTTTATATCTATCGTTAGGTATGAAACTAAAGAAAATACACAGAGTTCTAAAGTTTGATCAAAGCCCTTGGATGGAGCCCTATATAAGGTTGAACACAGATTTAAGAAAGATAGCTACCAGCGATTTTGAAAAGAATCTATATAAGCTCATGAATAACTCAGTATTTGGTAAAACTATGGAGAATCTAAGGAAGCGTGTTGATGTTAAATTGGTCAGATCTAATGAGGAAGAAAGACTCAGGAAACTTATAGCCAGTCCGGCTTTTAACAGAAGCAAGATAGTCGATAACGACTTAGCCGCTCTACATATGCAGAAGAGTAATATAAAATTCAACCGACCGGTGTACGTTGGTATGAGTATTCTTGATTTGTCAAAACACTTAATGTATGACTTTTATTACAACGAACTTAAGAAGAAATATGGTGATAGATGCGAGGTGTTATATACCGACACAGATTCTTTGTTGATGGAAATACAAACCAAGGATGTGTATAAAGATATGGCAGAAAAATTTTACAAACCTGTAGAGGTTATGAATTCTCTGATGAAATCCTCCTTGGGGCACTTATTGCATTTTCCTGGCTCAAGAAAATCTACATGACATAGTTGTAACCATTTTCCTTAATAAAAATTGTTACCACACAAAAAACTTTGTTTTTGTATGATAT